TAGGCGTATTTTTAGTTTATATGGGGAGACAGAAGATGAGACTTCTAGCTTACAACAGCTACAGTTATTATCGTTACATAAAATCTGCGAGAACATTTTACTTCCTCTTGAGTGAAGGGAAATTGAGACGATGCAGTTTAGCCCCGTTAATGCATGCATGTGAAGAAAGCAGTCAACTGCTTTTCGTTCGGAGAATATCTGCTCGTGCACATTAATGGTAGCTTAAGGTTATTTTATTAAACATTTCTGACGATTACCCTCAAACTCACAACCCTGCAAGATGGACTATTTCACCTCGCGAGACTTTGTTCGGTTTCATACTTTTCTGATCTATATCCAATGTGATCTCGATTTATTGAGGACAATATTGTCAAGCCACGAGCTAACCAACGCATTTACACAATTTGCCAATTTAAAGTCTTTCAAGCGCCCATAACTTTTGATGTTTACAATACCGCATACAGTTTGTATGAATTACAGCTGAACATCTTTTAATGATAAGATATATCTGTGATGCGTTTTCGGGTTCTACTTCGTGGGAACGATGCATCTCATGTCTGATGTTTCGCTCCACGTGCCGGAAGCTCCTGAAGAAGCCCCGAGCACGCGCAGCGATATGCCAGACATCGTGCCAAACGGTCCAACTCGAAAACACATCGGAGAGCTGCAAAGGACAATCGCAAAAAAAACCTACGCAGTGCCTTTGAACGGTTCTATCAAATCCAGGGGCTGGATCTCTAAAATACGTCGTGGAGTTATTCGTTTTGTGTTTGTTAGGAGTCTGGCCAACAGGTGCATAGTCAACGTTAGGATTAGCACGGTTGGCAACGTACGATGCGAAATAAATTCAACATACATACATACATAGGAGCGAATGCCATTAAATTTAAATAGTTCATACATATATTCCCTTAAAGAGAAGGAATTTACCATTTTGCGCAACAATGTCTTCACAAAGAGCGGTCAGCTATAATGGCGTCTTCTTATGAAGTTGTTTTGCGTCACTGAAGCGGCAATAACATATAGTATAACAATCTGTGTACATGTTTTTTTATGTACCGTACATGGCAAAATATAACAACATGCGAATGCATGTTTGAGCCAATGTTAAACCCCGTGGATTGACATTGGAAGGACAGCCACCATCATCATCACCATCATCCATACCGTCGAGTGCATCCAACCACACGTCCGGTCGACTCAATTCTTCCAATTCTATATCTGCTGCTCACCTCACACCGCTCGGCTTTTCAATCTCGTCCCATCGTCTGTTCCTCCCAACCCATTCCTGCGTAAGTTCCTTTACCCATTCAAGAAACAAAATTAACTCGTGTGGGTTACACCGTAACAGTTCTGTTTGTTGCTTGCCCGCTTGATGTTTTGTGCCTTTGTTTGAAAAACATTATAACCAAAGCCTTACACTTTGAAAAAAAAAGTTGCCAATCTCTCTGCACCTGCATTTGGTTGGATCACCTGGTCGAATATATTTTAATTCCGAAACTATACGTCGTAATCAAAACCAACAGCTGTATTCATATTGGGGAAACAACATAGATTTAATATGCATTTAATAAATGCTTATTAGAGGCCTAACTCTTTATGGAGCTGGACTGTGGGAAAAACATCTTGGATGATTTTGTTATGAATGTTTTTACAATGTTTATTCATTGCAGCTTCTACCCCAATGCTTTCCTGAATGTCTCATATTAACGCATTGTGACAAAGCTGAACAACAAGAAGAACAAAAACTTGCTCGAAGAATGACTAATATTAGATTTTGTACACACACACAAAACCAATACGGTAACACCTTTGCTTTAAAATAACTACACAACTCTCTCTGGACACAAGACTATTCATATAATGCCAGGCAATAAACATATAACCCATTTTGGTACAATTTTAAAAAATCAAAGTCTGCCAATTTAAAACCTGGCCCATAGACTTTACATGTCTGCCGCCGTTGTTGGGTTTAACTCATCGCAGCATTCCGTTCGCCGGGGTCATCGCTTGCTCCATCACCATAAATATAACGCAACCGATATTTTTCCCGACTTGGTTATATTTTGCTCTGCAGTAAAGCTCTGCAATTCGAGGGGCATCGTGCGATAAACCTCACCTAAAGGCAAGCTCCAACAGACAGCACTATCTCTTTAAGCTTAGTAAATAAAACGTACGGGCCACCAAACGTAATTCACGACCAATGGACAGTACGCCACACCAAAGCCACGTCGCGCCGAACGGTTTTTAGATGACAGTTAATTTGCTATCTGGTGGATATTCCTTGCTCCTAGCAGGCAATGTAATGGGATTACAGTTTCCACTGCGAAATTACTGAGAGTGCAGTGGGAAAGGTAGATGCAGCTCTCTTGGCCAAAACGTACAACTGCGAAGTGTTAAGAGAGAGGCAAACACGGATGTATTTGCCTTCACTTCTCTGGACAAAAGCACTTTTCCAGACCAAAGCACAAGCTGCACGCAGTCGTAGTAATACGGAACACAATGGGTAATGCCAAAATGTATTCTACGATGTGCCAGGTGCATTTTGCTGATTGAAAAAAAAACCTGCATTTAATTGCCAGAAAAGATCCCACTAAATATTCTTAAGCTCAAATATTGTTTGAATAAGTATTTATTACAATGCATATGTACAAGCAGGCGGACTAATTTGTACAATTACTTGATGCAAATTGTAACCTTTAAACAGCAAAAGTAATCAGAAAGTAATGTGTATTTGTAGACGTTACTAAGGCACCAAAGTCGTCAAGTAAATGTTAAATATTGAAATTGGCTTTTGAAAACACGATATACGAGCACGAGGAAATTACATTTTATGCTGTATCCAAACCAGTGGCGGCTCCTGCAAAATCTCTCAGGGGGGGCAAATGTCTGGATGATTGATAAGGATAAGGTCCGCCCATGCAATGGATAAATTAACAGCTTAAGCATGTAAAGGCAACTTCACTTCTTTAATATTAATGAAAAATAAAGTGACTCTTACAATACATCTTGTTTGTTTCTATACTCACTATTAATACAATCCACTCAAGTTTCTTTTATTAAAGATTCCACTAGGTGGCGACAAATTATATTGTTGGATGAAACGTGCTTACGTATGATGACGTAAGCACGTTAGTGGGAGCCCTCCCGGAAACCATAGAGAATGCATTGCAGCGCCCCCCGGTTGAAAAAAAACATCTTTGAATGTAAGTCTATGGGGCCACTCGGGGCGATTCTCAGCCGGAGTGAAATCGCCCAAAAAGAGGCGGTACTCCACAGAACGTGACATGACGCTGATTGGACTATATCCAGAGGCACAGTTACGGCTAGCGTGACTCTGTGGTTGAATGACATTGGTGGTGCGTCGCCCAATCGCCCTAATGAAGAAATCGCCCCTGATCCAAACTAATCTGAACGTTAATTAAATCAGATGCGCTTATCCACGCGGTCTGTGAACACGGAGATAGGTTTGGCGCTCTGTGGATTCCAAACATTTTGTTTGGCATGACTATTTTATTTTAAAACCTGCTTAATGTTTTTGTAAGACATTATATTTATCATATGAGAATGTTTAAAACACTTAAATGACTTAAGTTGCAATTAAGCCACATATCAAAATTATATTAAAGCTGTGAGAGATGAGGTGTGTTGAAAGTTGGCAATTAACAAAAGTGACAGCTCTACATCTTACCCTGGCCACAGATAACACTGGCTTTTTGTAAAGCGGGCTAAAATAGATTACATTAACGTAGCGTTTTGTTAAATCGCAGGTGAAATAATCTGCTTTTTAACATTTCGCCAAAAGTAACATGCTCAAGCCCAATTACAATGTTGCTATGAGTACGAAAATAGGCTTTGTTTGGAGTCTACATACAAATGGAATAACATATTACATGATACATTTAAAAAACTAAAAGGTATGTGGCAACATGTTTTAAGTTCAAAAGGGGCCTCCCTGAAAGTAGCAAGAAAAACAACAATTGAAAATAGTGGCAGAAGCAAGCTATTACGGTGGCATTTAGTTTACTTTTATTTTACTTGTGAACTTCATACAGTCTGTACCATCAAGCTCAGCAACAGTTAAACACAGTATATGAGGACATCTGGAGAACAGCAGGCTAAGTGGGCTTTTGCACACACGCGCACGCATGCACCAAACATCTTCTATTGCCTGCAAGCATTTATGATGATATATATCTTGACTTAGAGCTTTCGTGACTGCAGGAATTCATCTTATTTCGGGAAAGTCACGTAGATAGGTTCAAAGAAAAAAAAACTACGACGTTTCGATCGCAACACAAGCGTTCGTCATCAGGAAGAGGGGGTTAGCTTCTAAAGGCAAACTGTTTATAAATGTTTAAAATGGACGTAGCCCACATGTCAGCAGCCAATGTTAATGTAAGTGGTGGGCAGCGACCGCGACGGTGGTGGGTTTTCCACCAATCAAAGGGCTGCCAAGTAAAAATTAGCATGTAAGAACGTTGAGCAGCCTCCACGGCCAGAGCCCTGAGGTGGCTATGTTAATGTGAGAGATTAGCATGTTAATGTGAGAGATTAGCATGTTAATGGTAGATTGCAGAGCAGCAACGTCGAGCTCGGCGAGCGAGGTGGCTGTGTTAATGTGAGAAATTTAACCTGTTAATGTAAAATCAGAGCCGAAAATAACTAACATCGGAAGGTGGTAGGATGGGAACATCACAGCCAGTTATGACTTAAGTCGGCTCTGATTTTACATTAACAGGTAAAATGTATCACACTAACACAGCCACCTCACTCGCCGAGCTCGAGGTTGCTAATCTCTCAGATTAACAGGGCGCTGGTCGTGGAGGCAGCCCTTTGATTTGTGTAAAACCTACCAATGTCGCGGTCGCTGCCCACCACTTACATTAACATTGGCTGCTGACATTTGGGCTACGCCCATTTTAAACCTTTATAAACAGTTTGCCTTTAAAAGCTAACCCCCTCTTCCTGATGATGAACGCTTGTGTTGTGATCGAAACGTGGTAGTTTTTTGTTAATTTATTTTTTACCTATCTACGTGACTTTACCGAAAGACCCAAAGAAGATATATGTTAACAAAAAATATAATTCGATCCTCAGCAAAGCGGAGAGCCTTCTCTTACTGGTAAGGTTCACTTGAAAATATCAGGGAGAGAACGCACATGATTCGATGTGAACGGTTGAGTTGCAGGTCAGTGGTGGACTAAGCCACTCTCTCCATCTGATTGCCCAAAATCGTGTGGAAATTAAAACGGGATTATTTTACTCTTGCATTAAATTCTGGTTTTCATAAAAAAAAAGTTAATCGTGAAATGTGAATAACTATACATTTCAGTGTATTTTAATAATTGTTTCGTTTCATCAAATTTCAACATCATTACAAAACTAGTGCCGTAATATTAAACTCTATATAGGTTCGCTGTTGTTCAAAATAAAAACGAGACTAACTTAACGGTCTCTTTTTTGGCCTGATCCACAGTGCAAACCATAAGAGAAAAAAAAACACAAGTAATGTAATAACATTTAAATAAAAATCACACCACTGCAGCAAGTATAAAATAGTGCAAGTAAAAAAAAAGCTGCTTAGAAGCCACAGCGACACAGACAAGAACACCACCATCATATGGCACACGGCTCACAGAACATTTAATTGGCTAAAAAAATACATTATATTCGTAATGTACCCATAGTATTCTGCTTACAAAATGACTACTAAAAGTTACAAGGCAGCATTTTATTACAGCATACAATCTACCGCATGCCTTCTCCCTGACCCCTTGTTTCCGCCACAAAAATGCCCTCTTCTCCCCCATCTAACTCCCTTGCTTTGTGTACCAACACCTATCACTCTCTCCCACCAGGAGCTCTGTTGATGAGGCTCAAGTGTGGTCATTCGCTTAAAAATATAGCCAACGGTGTACCGAAAGTGTTAAGCAGGTACACAAAGTTGCGAATTATTACAAGTAAAAAATAACCCCCATTTAATGTATCCTTGACGGTTGTTTTACTGGCTTTTGCTTCCTACTTGGTTCGTCATAGCTTTGTTTGCTTACAAATGTGTGGCCACCCATAATGTAATCCAGAAAAGACGGCCTACTATTGGCACAGTCGGCATTCACAAAGACCGTTTCTTACACGTGCCAAAGGCGGATTTTTTTTAACCAAACACATGCGACAGGTGCCTGAACGTTTTGCTACAGAACTACTGAGCCGGCGATGCGTTTACACGCACGAATCTGCACTACACGATATTTTTGATCTGCCACCAGGCTCCACTAAGGTGCACAAAAAGTTGTCTTGCTGTAAAATTATCATTATTTCCTAAACTGTGTGTGAACATTGCATATACATCATTATGCACGCAGTAATTCAGTTAGCTACGTTTCAAAACCATCGTGTGAAACGCATAACATTCCACTTCGGCTCACTCTGCAGGCTTTTACAGAGGCGATCCTCTACATATTATAGTGCAGCTCCCAAACACAGTGCAACTTTTTGTTTAACCGTAAGTGCCAGTCAGTCTAGACTGGCCCTCTTAATGCTCCAATGCATGCAACGCCACTTGAACACCGGTACGTACAACTGCGCCCATAATTGTAATTCTTTTTATATATAACGAGCAATATTTCCCCCTAAAAAATCTAAACACTCAAAGTATGCACGAGCAAGGTTTTAGACAATTATGGCAGCAGGTGTATGGACCGGCGTTCGTCACTGCACAGCAGTCGAAAATGCACGAGCATAAAATTCCTTTGTTAAATCAGCCAGGCCTAGTAGAGCTACGCCACAAATGCCTTGGCTAATCAGATAAACATAGTGTCACAGGCTGATTAAAGTCCTTTTAGAAATAAAGCCCACTTTTACCATCAAGTCAAGCCAACCACTGCTCAATTTTCTGTTTAATACACGTACACAATTTTTTTGATTGTAACCGACAGTTTAAGAACAACAATAATGACTACGGCTACAACGACAAGAACAAATATCCATTTGCGTTTATGTTGTAAAAGTACGCTACCCTTACATAGTGAAGTGAATTGGAACCATAAGGTCACACCAATACATTACCGATGTGCCTTCACTGCCATGGAATGTTGCAATAATTGCCGTGGGGGAAGGGGGGGGGCACGAGTAACGTACGTCATAATGCACCTTAGCAGCAAACCTTCTTCAATTTGCAACACTATCCATTGCTTTGGCAAATTGTGCTACGAGCAGCATTTTAAAATAAAAAGCGACATGTCCAAGCAGACGGTACTTTGATTAAGCTTTACAGCAGCAAAAACGTTAACGTTGGGCAACAAAGCTAGCAGCAGTTTCCAACTCGGAGAAACGCCTTTGTCCAATAAACTGCACACACTCCCCGTGCGTTGCTGTCACATTGCTCGTCCGTCCGTGCACGCCAGCCCTTGCGCGCCACCGTACAACTGCACCGCGCACAGGACTCGTGCGGCGATTGTGCTTGATTGTTTTAATTCTTCTTTCTTCCCGAGTGCCGTCTCCCCTTTTCCGATTGGATCAAAAAGACCATCCATGCTCCTGCACTTTTAAACTCGCACGCACTCACTCTCTCTCTCCATCATTAGTTGGCATCGAGACCAAACACAGAGCCGCGTTTACAACATCGGAGGTGTCAATTTATCGACGCACTTTGTGCTCAGCGTCAGAAACAGACCGCGGAAAATTTCGGGGAAAAAAAAACAACAAGTTGGCAACCGCACCCAAAACCGGTTGCAGTTTCTCCCTGCATGCATTGACTTGCATTGCTAGTGCCGCTATTGCAATATATCCAGCGTGTAAGCAGCAGACGAAGAGTGCACCGAATGAGAATGTTCAGAAATATCCACATTGTGAGGCTTGAGCAGTGACATACTGCCCAATTTTGAGATTTATTTATTTATTTTTAATTAGCCTTATTACAAAATTATTATTTTTTAGAAAGAACAACCTCTGATGGTTAACTGTCAATGTAGATATTTTAAATATACTAGCTCCTAATCTTGAGACAGCAATACAAATATACATTTGTGTGCCTGTGTATATGTACACACACACAATTTAAAAAACACAACCTAAAAAAATACCAATGTAGCAATAAATGAGATGTATAGTAATCTGGATTTGAACAATGCAAGTGCAGAGCTTGTTATATAAATGGTCCAAATCTTTCCAGGTTTTTCATGTACCCAATATGGGTGCACAATGGATGCAAGTACATTTGCAAACATTTTTTTATATATATAAGTGGAATTGGCTAAAACTTAGTCAATCACGGTATCCCTGGTATACCATCGATGATGATGCTAACTTCGTGTGGCCAACGGAGAAGAAAAATTAAGTTATTCAGGCCGAAATAATTTAGCCAATCGTTCGACATACATGCTGGAACTTTTTTTTAAGGAACTAGTTGCACAATTAAACGTTTTGTTAAGTTCCGAGGCCACCTATTCATATACATGACAACTCGATTGACAGTACAGATATCGGGATTTTTTTGAAAGCATCTGGGAATCTGAGGTCCAGATCGTCAAAGCTCTGACACACGTGCGTGTGTGGGTTTCCAAGTCTAAACCACTCCATACAGAATGCCACGTTATCCGGTTGAGCACCCCGGAGCTACTCAATTAGTCGAAAGAAACCAGAGCACAATTAATAAACAAGGTGTGCCGCTACGCGGTGGGCAGGGTACTCTCAAAATATATAAATGTTATGCACCATCACGTATGTTTACAACAATCGATGTGGAACAAAGAATACACACCAATTAAACAGACCTCACAAATGTCCCAGTTTTCAAATGCAATTAAAATGTTTTCATCCGCGATGAAAACAATTTATAATTTTAAATAACCACGACGAGTCTTCACGAGCCTTTCAGACCACTCGCAAACATTTACCGCATGTCTGATATTTCCACCAGCTGGGCGTACCTTGATTTGACCTGTCTCTTCCATCTGAAGCTCATAAGTTAGGAAAATCGAATCCTGTAATATCTCGGCGGCTATTCGGAACGAACAAATAAAAAAAACACAGTGAGAGTTGATATTTGGATACAAAATGGCCTGGGCGTAGTGTTTTCACGCGGCGTGTACATCACACATGCGTATCGACGCCTCACTCAGTCAACCCAGAGCGTCAAAGGGTTGCTTCGCTGCCCACCGTCATCCTGATCTTTGCCGATGGCGGCTCGTCATTCGACTGCAAAGCGGGGGACTTGACTGAGTTGCGCGAGTTCTCCATGGCCTTGCACTGGATGCCACCTCCAACACCGCCACTGCCGCTGCCAGTGTCCTGGGTGCCAGCTGCCTGGGATGTCTTGGAACACGCGCTATGCTCGCTCAACACATTCGCATCCAGCATCTCGAGAAGCAGGTCGTACAGCGGCACCACGTTCTTGCGCTTGATGTTGTACAAATGCTGGATTCCTTTGTTGCTGCACGCCACGGAGAACAGAGACGGGCAAAGCAGGGAATTATTGAATGATGTTACGGTAAATTGTCCGCTCTAAACATTCTCTTCGCTACGAAGAAGGGCCCCCCGTTGCCGGAAGTTGTTGCCTTAGCACCACAAACGGGGATCATAAGAGGTTCCCGAATAAAATTCTATCACTATTGTCACACACGTACATACATCTACTAGATTATAAGACGCAGCCTTAAGTTTTTCTTTCAAACGTAGGACGAGGTATATTATAATCTGGAAAGTTTGGTATATGTGTGTCCTTTTAGCGCAGCGTGATTGACAAATGTGTTGAATTTTTTTAAATTCAAAATATTAAGCAACTATTTATTTTTACAAATTGTTCACAGTTACAAGCACCAAGTTATATTTGGCCTGATGATTTTAGAGCGGTGGCGCAGTGGTTTGCACTGTGCTATGAACTTCAGCTATTTAAATTCCCAGCCAAGACTAACATCAGCGGTGAGTAATATGTGAAACGGTCACTCAACTTGTACTGGCCAGCGTATGACCAAACAACTAAAGCCTGACACGTTACGTGAGGGGGCTTCATCCAGTAGTGGATTGACAAAGGGCTGTCCATTATAGATTTTGTTATTCAACTTGTGCTGTTACGTTAAAGCCAAAAACACAACATGTAAATGTTATGACAGCGAACACTTTACTGTTCAACCACCATTGCAAGCAGGACGAAAGTGAACTTCAGTTAAAACTAGATTCGAAGCTTTCGTGAGTTTGGTTCTTTCAGTAAAGTCAAGTAGAAAGAAAATGTATTAAATAATAATAGAATACGACGTTTCGATTGCAACACACGCACGTAGAAAGAAGCTTGACTTAATTTTTTTTTATCGCAAATAAAATCGCAATATCTGTCAGAAAAATCGCAATAAGACATTTTCCCCAAATCTCGATTTAAAGCTTTCGTGACTGCAGGGATTCATCTTCTTGGTTCTTTCGGTAAAGTCACGTAGAAGGGAAATAATAAAATAATAAAAATAAAACATAATAAAATAATTCTCACGACGTTTCGGCCACAACGCAAGCAGCCGTCCACAACGCAAGCAGCCGTCCTCAGGTGAAGAATGTGGTGTTTCATTTTTCACCTGAGGACAGCCGCTTGCGTTGTGGCCGAAACGTCATGAGAATTATTTTATTTTTATTATTTTATTATTTCCATTCTACGTGACTTTACCGAAAGAACCAAGAAGATGTTTCTCCAAATCGTTCAGCCCTAGCTTACACTGACAATGGCAGGGGATAAGATGACTGGGTGATAGAGTGACACTTTAAGATAACATATGCAGGTGTTACTTGGCATCTTACCAGTTAGGGACTTCAAAATGACAGCTTTAAATAATCCATAACTGCATTAACAGCACAGTAAATAACCAACATCATCATCACAACAACTAATACCATTACCACCACACTGCAACCAACACCACGACAACCAACAATACAAAGACGTAACAGACTGTTGGGGCAAGTGCTGTTAACGAGTACCGATGAAGGCCAGCACGGCACACGAGGGAGGGGGTGGGTGGCCAGCACCACGCCTGGCCACATTTGTCTCCCGAGTGGCGATGTTTACACGCCGCACCAGTTTAAATATTCGTCACCGGTGTTGGCTGTGAGTGGGAATTTAAACTCAGGTGGTAGTGCAGCACCCTAACCGCTATACTACGACTGCCACCCACATTATCAATACAACCACCACAAAAAACCTGCTTCATAACTACCATCACCACATTTCTGTATATTTTGTTGTGCTTTTGTCATTTTGGTGGCCCAAGAAACGCTTGCGAATGAGACATCTTGATCTCTTGAGTTCTAACCTGGTTAAACAAATAGGCTTGAACCTGAATTTATATTCAGAAAAATGTAGTTACCTCAGTTCAAGTCCTTGTGCATCTGCACATCTATGCATTTTTATATAAAGTCTAGACATTCCCTAACTACCAATAATGTCAACGGTTCCATATACACTTGGTAAATTATGTAATTCAAAGGTTTGGGTAATGATATTTTATTATTCTGAATATTTTCTTTCTATGCGCACTTGCAGGATTTTGGTTTTGCCCTTGCCTTTTAAAATCTCTACCCCTCTGCGTGCCATTATATTTATATAAAGCAAAAGTGTTGCTGACAAAATCTAGTTGCGTTTTTTTTTTCAAATTGTGCTCGTGCACCCCACTGCCAACACAGTATCTCCAAATAATTGTTTCAAATATTTTAAAAAATGTGGTCAGTCACTGCACACTTGTTATCATGTTTTGTACGAAGGAAAAAAAACAACGGTGGTGGTCGCTTTGGGGGGAGGATTAACTCCGAGAGATGGATTTGATGTCATGCTAAGGACTGTGTGTTCCATTAGTCACGATTCTCACGAGGTCTGATGAATGCCACAGCGTAATTCCTGCTCTTAAAAGTTAATCCCTCACCGCCTCTCCAACACAAATATTTATTTTTTCTAAAATGAACATTCAGCATTGCAAGCCGTATGATAAAATTAGAAAAATACTCAACATTTAACCTCGTAGAAATTTAGAACTGACACAATCACGAAAGAATGAATTTGCATAACTTTAGAAAACGTTCGAATCGTGTAAAAAATGATTATACATCAACGATTTTGTAATAAATTGCTTTTGCTTGTGAATCCAAGGTTCAAAGGATTTGAACTCGATTCCCAATTTTTCACACCAATAAGCCATGAATGCACCGGTGTAATAATTACATGATGTGAGTAAATTTGTATGCAGCATGCAAAACAGTTCACATTCAAGTGGAGGAAAATTAATAAAAACGCATTTTATGCTTCAGCCAGAACAAACGACGTTGGAACATCACTTTTTTTGTTCTTCGTATTGACTGGTCCCTGTCATTTTTTTCCACCACTAGCTGAGACACAAATAAAAAAAACATGCGCTGCTCCACACTTCCTTGAGCACTGAGAAACTTACCTCGATTTTAAGTTCATGCCTAAATTGCTCCCACTCCTCTCCTCCCCCAGGAGAATCAATCATCAGATTACATGAGTAACCCAGTAAAATTTTAACCCTGAAGCCTTAAAGCACCGACCTGATGACTCTGTACCCGATGTGCTAACAGCATCAAAGCGTCAATAAATGCCAACCCATTGCCAGTAAAAACACATTTTCAGGTCATCAAAGACACCCCTTCCACATTGACTCACTATTGCATTTCTCGTCTCGCTCAGCTGTCTTAAAACGCTGGCTTTCGAATTCATCCTTCCATTGATTTTTTATGGCTCAAGCCCTACTTTATTGTGCACCAATGAAAACAATGTGATTGCAGATTGGGTGCGTAAGTTCAAATTGCATTCGACTCATACAATACAGAATAACGCTGCAAGTGCATTTGTCGATTACCTCCACAAAGAGTTAAAAATGAAAAACTAAATATATTTTCTCTTTTTGGGCTACCCTGTACCATAGTAGCACGGTTCATATTTTTTTTCAAGTAACTTTGTGTTCCAGCATAAATACACAAAGAGTACAGATGGCTGACATTTCATTAACCTCGACAATTTCCCTGTCTGCACTTGTGTAGCTTCACTCAATTCCCACTCAAAATCATTGGCTATTACCCAGCTTGTAAAATGCGTTATTAGTTTGGGAAAGTGCTTTGAATATGTTTTGTAATAAAAATGTTCATACTACCCCCCCCCCTTTAACTTTATCTGTTATGAAGGAATAATAGGTCTTAAATAAATAAACATACCAACATACAGCCCTTTGTTAATCCACTGTGATAGGCATTGATGATTGGTACCATTTCACCGTATTTCACCAGGCTGTTCTAGTGCAGGTTGGTGAATGGGGGGGGGATGGCAAAAGATCACTTCAGATGTCGTTTTAGTCATGGCCTGAAATTTAACTCGTGTCAGAGTTATTACTCCGCTACTGACGTTAGCCGTGGCCGGGAATTGAACTCAAGCCGACAGATCCATATCACAGCGCCTAACCCCCGGCGCTGCCGCTCCACGTCACCGAGAGCTCCACATCGCGTATTCATTTCAGGAGTGGTGAGGATGCATTATTTATTTATTTGCACACAGTTGCCGAGCACTGGACCCCAAGGCCCAATATGTCAAGCGGCCAGCAGCAAACAGCACTATCCCACGTTTGCAATTAGTGTTCACACGTTGTTGTTTTTTTAACTCAGCAAAGTTATTTTAAGAAATACTGCAAGTTTAGAACTCGCTCCACCCACCATCGCAATGATCATCAGTTATTATTAATACCGCGCCTCCCAATGCAAATGCCCAGAGCAGCCCTGCCGATGACAAATCAAGGATGCCTCGTTCAAGGGGTTGCACTGCGCACATTCCAAGAAAAATCCCCATCATCATCATTTCTTTGCTGACACCGTGGCTCAATCTCCGTAATTAATGCAACTGCCCTTACTCTATATTTATGACGGGAGGGCGCCATGTAATTGAGCTTGTCACTGTTGATCCGATCAGCGGACTTTACAAAGTGAAAACACCTCTTCGTGAGCACCCCTTCTCCACTGCCAAGCATGTTAGGGTCGATGTGCTTTAGATCCTGGCACAGCCGAGAAGCAGGAGCTCCGGTTCATTTTGACAAATGGACGGCGGCTGCTGTTTTGCTGCCCACCTTTGCCAAGCTGCTAAAAGTGGACCCCGTTCTCACTGCGAGAGTCACTCTGGATGCAGATGTATAAACACAACGCAATCGTTGCAGCAGTTTTTCTGCGTTACTTTGTTATCATTTACCATGCTCATTCAGTCCCGTGGTGCAACAATCCATCTAGCTCCTGCATATGAGCTGGTCTCATGGCTCCATCTCCACGGTAGACGTACAATCTGGCATGTTCTCGCCTTCATCGTTTAGTCCCGACCATTTAGTGAGATGTCTTGCCCCAATGGCACTCCCATTTTCATCGACCAAATAACAAAAATACTTCCTTTTAATGACCCAAAGTTATGAAACTGTGTTTGGATACTTTGATTTAAACTACAAACTGGCCCATTTTTTACAGTTTGCCTTACATTATAATAATTTCGTATCACGCACATTTGTTTACATAAATAATACCGATTCACGTCAATAATAAACAAACATTGAAGGGCTGCTAATGGTATTTTTCGGGAACACAGAGAATACATCTTACAGACGTGTGCTGGCATATGCCCACACAGTTGCATAGCAAAAATCTCCGTAAATAACAATACACACTCTCAGGTTCTTTCGGTAAAGTCACGTAAATAGAAAAAATAATAATAGAACACACAATACATGCGCACGCGTTCTGACCAATACTACAGAAATGCTGCTGACTGTTCCCAGCTGCACACAAAAACACACGCACGTACTAAATCCCAATTGAGTGCAAGCGTGTCCCTCTGTAATAAACAGCAGTGTGTGGTCTGCACACTCCTACAAGTGCGTACGTACAATACACACACACTCAAGAATTGCAGCAGGAAGAGTGCCCCCAGGATGGGTATTTGCACTTCAGCTTTGTGCAAACACAAGGGATGCTCGTAAGCAAGTGACACGACGGGAGAGTCATTTGTCATCTCCCATTGCTGAAAATGCCACATTTGGGGGGGGATGGCAATGAGATTGTTCTAAGGGGGATAAACAGCCCTGCATAATGGGAACGCAGACACCAGTTAAAGAGCCGCGGGGAAACTGTTGGAAAGTTTCGTCGCCCGCCAGCGGAATTGCAACGAGAAAAAACACATTAACTGCGCAGCGCACAATGGCTGCGATATCATCGCACCTTGGGGATCGTAAAGCCTCGGAAGCTCACACTTTTATTTCCAAAAGTAACACGTTTCGTACACGTTGACACAGCAGTACTCATCAGTTGATGGCTGAACTTCATAAGCAAATCATTTTTCGTAGATGAACCCAACCTGAAGCCATAATTAAACTTTTTTTTCCTACTTCATTTTATTCCCTACATCATTACCATGATCCGCTATGATCTAGGCACCGCTTGATGAAGGTCTACCCAACACACGATCTATCGAGCTCATGCACACGAGCTGATCTCAAGGCTCCATCTTCGCGGTGGACGTCCTCTCGGGCGCATCCCCCCCCCCCCACGTGGTGGCTAAGGAGATCTCATCTCCCTCACCTGGTATGCAGAAGGTAGTGGGTTTGATCCCGACCCTGACGCCTGCTCTATATTTGCATGTTCTCCTCCTGGTCGTGTGGATTTTTCTCTAGGTCCTCTGGTTTTTCCCTTCAAATTTAGAATCAATGTGCATTTGTAGCATTTGAATGCTGTACATTTCCACATGATCATCCATTTCAATTGAGCTTACATTTGTGGCCAGGTCAATGCTGAAAAAGAGCCATATAGCTCATTGGGCCGTTACCTGGTAAAATAAAAAAAATTGTTTAGTTTTCAGTTTCAAGAATAGTTTAGTTTTATAGTTTAGCTTTGGCTGCCACTCTGTCGTTAGACTCGACCACTGGCCATTGTCCCTTCTAGCAACGTGTATTGCGCAAGTGCACTTTTCTAAAGAGCCAATTTGATGCATCTAACTTGTATGTGCGTATATATGTATAAGACAAATACAAAGATCCCCCGTATAGCCTGTACCACGCTGTTGGGGCAAGTCCTGTTAGCAAGCACCTATGAAGACTGGAATGGCACACGAGGGGGTGGGTGGCCAGCACCACGCCCGGCCACCTTTGTCTCCCCAGTGGCAATGTTTAGACATCGCACAAGGTACTAATTTCAAGCTGAGTCGACCTAGGGGAGGCCCAGGACCGGTTCAGGTAATTGTCACTGGTGTTGGCTGTCAGCGGGAATCGAACTCGGAACGGCAGGTTCGTAGCGCATCGCGCTAAACGCTACACTCCTGATCCCCACTATATGTATATGCACACACATGTATACAGCCTAGGCTTAGCTGCTCCATGTATCTCAGTCATGCATTACGAAGGGTAAGGCCCAGAGCTGGCCTCCACTAGATTATCGAGGCCCCACAGATCATAGGATCTTGCCTCGAGCTCCAAGCCAGAATCGGGGCCAAAGTGAGCCACTTCTGAGCACTGAAATAAATTCGATATCACAACAGCGTAAAAGTGTACGATTACTTTTAGAGAATTATAGAATATGCTAATTACATTCATTATAATAGAACGGCACAAAATGGCCTGCCCTTGCTACGAGTGTCACTTGTACCAAATTAGTCGCTCAAACAAGCGACTGCAAAACACAATTTGCATTCATAAATTGTTCAAATGCTACTGCATCTCCGGAAGCCGTACACAAAGTGGGGCATGTGCTTCACGGGGACCATAGTTGCAGTAATTTATATTTAGTAAAAGTACGGCGTGATTGAGATCGCATTATAGAGTGGGGAACAGTCAGTCATCGGCATTTTTGTTTCTGCACACTTAACATCAGCAAGCGCCCCAGCTTGAAAAGTAAACTGTTGGCGTGTGTTGCTTGCACCTCGGCCAGAGATATCAACATCCAACTGGGTTTTTTCACCATAAAAAAAATTTGCATTTAGGTCGTCCATCAGTCGAAGAACCTTCGGGACCAAAGTTTTCCAGAAAAAAATAATAAAACAGGCCGAGAACTGGACTGGTTTCTGCTTACCCAAGATTCATCAGCATGGTGTGACCTTTTAAAAAAATGCTGGTTGGTTACTTGCTGCTGTTATAAGCAAAAGCAATTCGTTAAAATATACGCGGTCATTTAGTACTGTAAATTGTGCAGCCCTTTGGCAATCCACTGCTGGACGTAGTCATGGTGGTTATTTGGGGGGTCGTGAAGATTATTTGGCTATACTTCGCCTTGCTGGTCAGTGTGGGTTAGTGAAGGTGGGGAGCACAGACACGGGAACAGAGAAATACAGTACAATAATGAATTTCATTGCATTGCTTTCTGCTGCCCAACTCATAGAGAAGTACAGAAAAAATATGGATAAAATGACGACTTGCTATTTTGGCAGATTGTGGGCAAGGACCTTCCAACAAGTTGTAAACAAACACACAGACGATCGTCTGTTGCATCACCACAGCTAAAACTCAAAGAACAGCTATGATCAAGGGCCATTGCCTGAAACTCGGCTTATGATATTATTACAAACTTTTAAATAATTTATTTCCTCTTTAGTACAGTGTTACAGGTGAACGCGCTGAGTATCTGTAATGTGACGTGTTGTGAGCTTTTGTCATTTGCACTTCGAGCACCACTGCCAAACGCAGCATCGCGACGTTTGCCATTAAATTTCGATCGCGAGATCAGATCATATCAGATTGAATCGGATCGGACGAGTATTGGCGGCTGCATAATTTACCCGATGAAGCGGATGTGCGAGAGCAGCAGCAGGAGGCAGACGAGGCGACGGGGCCGCTCCATCACGGGGATGTCCGACTGAGCCATGTGCCATGCCAGCGCATCCGTCACGCCGTCCAGGATGCGCCGCACCTTCTCGCTGGTCCTCCTGGAACACTGCTCACTTCTCCGGCCCGCCAGTGAATAGACAGCCTGGCACGGCGACATTTGGGGCAGTGCCGACGCCACGTCGGCAATGGACACGGAGCAAGGGTCGGCGGGGTGAGGGGTCGTGACAGCGGTGGCTGTGGCTTGTGCTGAAACCGAAGGGGATGTGGTGTCGGTGGCGGCGGCTGTAGCAGCAGCAGCAGCAGGGCCCATTCCAGACAGCATAGGGATGGGTTGCGAAATTGACATGGGTGGCGGTGCTGATGGTGGGGGCAGTACCGGAAACAGGCCTGCCACACGCAGAAACGAGAGTCACTCAGCATAAATTTACGAGCCGCTTCCCCTAGATCAAAAGAACAGAAGGACATTCTTGGATTAAATGCTCACTTGGAGTTAAACTGCAAAAATATGAAGTAGCATGTATGTATGAAACTTCATATTTGGCTAACCGTGTTAATCAGGGGTGCGGGGGAAGGACAAACTAAACACAAAAAGCAGTTCAAAAGAAATTCGTTTTCAATTTTGAATGATAGGCAATTTGATTTAAACAGTTTATCAATGGAACAGTTGTCATGATTATCATCAGTCATAAGCAATGCACTGCTGGATGAAGGCCTCTCTAAGCAGTCACTATCTCTCACAATTCTGCGATGTTATTATCCAGCATGCACCTACACACGAGCTGATTTAAACATTCTAGCTCCTGGATGGACATCCTCTGAGATGCAATCAATTCCTTGGCTGCCAATCCATCATTATTTTTGACAAGAGCATTAAAAAAAAATCGCACAGCCAAGTCAAAAGGGCTCAACAACGACTTTGCGGAAACACGTGGAGGAAAGATTGCGTTCAGAATACAATCAATGTTCCTCATTATTTTTTTTAAAGATAAACAAATTCAAATACAATGTGTTTTTACCGACTCTTTTTTTGCGACTGAACTGTGTGGCAGGAGCATCTGATTTAATACGATTAAGTATTCCAAGGAAATTACATGCAAGCCCCCCCCCCCCCCGGTTATTTAAGCCTCTTGTCTTGTCTTTGGAAGCCATTATCACATTCACGTGGTAGGTAGCCAAGAATTAATTTTCATTGTCATTTTCATGAATATGGCCAAAGGCTCATAGTTTCCTTCGGTTTAGATCATGTGGGAATGAATTTTTGTTTACATTCTACCTACACAAGCTTTCCCTAAATAAGCTAATTACGATTCAAAATATTTGTCGTGAAATCCTACGTTAAATATATGGTCAATAGTAATGATTCAAAACTATAAAAACATTTACTCTAGACTAAAAATACCTGTGAAATCTCACAGTTTACATCCATGCACCAGGACTTAGGAGGGGAGGTGCTGGACAATTTCTGATATCATGTAGCACTGTGGCGATGAATTGAACTGGGGTTGCTGGGTTAGTAATGCAAGTGTCAACAACCCCGCTACCACATACATACACACATACAAATCACAGCCGCTATTTGCAAATATTTGATGATGACTTTCCCACAGCATTTGCACCAAATTAGATTAACTTTGAGGCCACATGAAGTGTTGAAGGTTTGCTGCTGGCAGGAGGTCACGGGACAGACTCAGGTGTTATGGGTTAACTGATTGATTGGCAGAGGTGCCACCTGTGCTCCCCACTGTACCAAAATGGCACACATACAAATACACGGCCACACATATATTCACACAGACATCTTACGATTTTGTGAACATATAGAGATATCAGAGGACGTCCATCCCGGAGATGGAAGGATTATATTAACTCTGGTTCAGCAGCTAGGATTGTTGCTTCGTGAAATCATGCGGGGATGGCGACGACTTGGGGAGGCCTTCATCCAGCAGCGGATGGATAATGGCTACTGATGACATACTGTATCATCAGGCATGAAAATTATTTACTCACATCCCTGCTATTCTGCATTCTTTACATATATTTGACAGTGGTATTCACCACGTTGCTTATGACCAAATCACCCGGAATCTGCCCGATCTCGGACGCCAAGCTGGGTTGAGCCTGGATAATTGCTTAGATGGGCGACCACCATGCACAACAGGCTGCTGAGCGGCTACGCTGTAGGCAGCTGAGATACGTTCAGCAAAGTTAATGTTTGTAATGTACTTCTATGCTCCCACACACAAGCTCCACAACTTCACCAAACTGCACTGGCGAGTGTGGTGTCGAACGCTCAAATAAACCCCCACAACCTGCACAGATGAGGCCCTCATCTAGCAGTGGAATTGCAAAGACACGTACTCATCACATCAATACCACACCATGCTGCTCTGTTTAGCAAAAGGTATTTTATAACTCTGAAACATTAATGTGAAAAATATTGTGAAGCATGACACCAAAGAACAATTATCCATTCGAGGAAGCTAAGTTAATGCATTTAATTATCGGTTTAAGTACACAAACAAGTCACTTGCCTAAGTTGACTACACTACGCGACTGCATAATATTGCTGCTTTGTTTTAATTTGAACGAATTTCTGTGACTAATAACCTCCATTACTATATTTAACGAACGCTAAATAAATAGCATTATTGAATGAAAAACTAATGCAAGGTAGTTTAATTACCAAGAACTACAAACAGAAAGTGGAAGTTAAACGGAGATAACTAATATTCTTTGACCACGACAAATATTCCTAGTCGACAAAAATATCAGGGTATATTGCAAATTAGTTTCGAGCGCGCACATTTCGTGAAGACAATAAAAACAAAGCACCCAATAAAATATATGCAGATTTTCATTTATTTGTGCACTTACACTTGTTAATGGCCTTCAAATTTCAGCCCATTATTTGGCAAATTTTGGCGCAAACAACGCGATGAGCAAATGCATACAAGAGTAACAACAACTGACGTTCAATTAGCGGCGGCAGCTGAAATTTGTTAAAACAACATCAAAAACAAGCAATGATACTAGCTAATGAGGTGGGAAAAAAATGGCTGTTTATCTGGCGACTTGCCAATGATTTTGTGAAGAGCCCTTATATTTAGAGTCCTGTCTGGAATCACCAAGCAATACGAGACACATCTCCTTCGAAGCTCCAAAAATACTGGGCTCACAATTGACAACTACACCACTCCTCAGTAATGTCGGGCCCTCTCTGGTGAAAGAAAGCTTGATGTTCTTCCAACGTGGTCATGCTGCCTGTTCAAAACTCAAGACAAGCCACAGTGGTGCGATTGTAGTCATGCAGCCCAGATTATGGACCATATAGTAAACAACTGCAGTCAGTGCTTATTCAACAGAGAAAGAGAAAACCAACATGAAATCTCTCCTGAAGCCCTCTCACTGGTATATATCTCCTGAACACATTGCTGCAAAATTCAAGAATAGCATATGGGAAATGTTAGTCTAATTCCAATGTTGGCTATAGGCAACGTAAGTCTACAGAACACATGACAAACAACTGTAGTCTGCAAAACCAACGCGAACATTCCCCTAAAGCCCTCTCGTTGAGGCTGGAAGACCTCTAAATTGGCATTTATCTCCTGAACATATCGGCCGCCATATGCAAGGATAGAAAGCACCACATGCACAGGGCTCTTTAACAAACAGCCACATGGCTCTGAGTAACAAAGGCCAAGGTGCGATGCTATTATTTGTTTGTTTTTTTGCCGTGAAACGAGTTTGGTATCAAGAATTCCGTTGTTACTGGGCAAATGGGAGCATGTGCGTGACAAAATTCCCTCGCTCTCTTATCACCGTTACTAAAACCCTGATGCAGTGAAGGTAAGCAACAAGGTTTACGTAACCCAACGAGTAAAATGTGTAATACAAATGTTTTTAATAATTGGAATTTCATCATTGGCATGACATCAACGTTCAACGTTAATGTAACGCGAGCAATATAGCACAGCTGAATTCATTTTGCTCCGTTCGAAAATAGGCAAACGTAATTTAGCAAACAGTGGTGTAATATAATGTAATTGTTCAATGTCTGCGTTGGATTTGGAATTGAAATAGCTGAGTACCAAGGACAATTGCTAAATACGTTTGGCAATCAATGACGCAGATGACAGAGAAAAAAATAGGTTGAGCATCAGTAAAACACTCGACGTCAGAACACAAAGGTGTATTTGGACCCTGTTGCCGTGCTACGTGGAAGCAGGCGACACTTTGGTACCCATCTACCCGCTAAAGCAATAATGAAAAATCGTGCATTCGCACGCGAGGAGCGGCACGGAAAGCGATGGAGTGGCCCGTGAAGGCCAAACCGAACAGCGTGTTTGCAACTCGTCCTTTATGCTCTGGCTTTGTGTTTTCAAGCTTGGGCAACTCTGATGAATTTGGCCGCCTTTCATGAGGGTAAGTTGCTCGTCCCAATACGACTTTATACAAAAGATTAATTTGTAACGAATCACCTTTACAAGAGTTATCATGCCTCCACACCCATCCCGACAAACAGACGAATGGAACCTGCTGAGTAAACGCTTTTAAGCCAAGTTGAAAAGCATAAAAAAAACAATGAAAAAACAGTCTTGCCTCATGCACGTTATTAATCACTTGGTGTGAACGTCTACAAGGGGAAACCTCGTTTGCCATACAGCGTTAGATAAAACTTGGCAATTTTACAATACTGATGGCACCCTATGGAAGAATACTCTTAAAGCACCTATATAATGAGATCACTTTGGTGGAAAAGCAATACGATTACGGGGCAAGATATTGTCTCCTGTGCCAGAGGAGATTAAGGAGGGATATGTTCCAGGGAACACAATACAGGCGGCTGAAATCAAGAAAACCGTGGGATGAGGATGTGTGCGGATCTCCAACACAATGAACAAGTCGCATCTTTCAACCACAATTGAGCGTTTCATTTCATTGCACACTTAAGCTTTGTATCAGAAAAGATAATGGCACATGCAGCATGCAAAAATAAAAATGTAAAAAATCACAGGGGGAAAAAACATCGGTTACCCGCTCAAAGAAACGTGTGGAAGTGCGCATCTGAGATAGTGATATAATTCAATATTCCTATGGTGGGGATAAGTCATTCCCACATGGTGGGGATGAGTCATGACAACTACCGATGGCTTTCCACAAAGTGGTACTTGACCTACTGGCGCAGAAGGAATGAAAGGCCGAGTCCTACTTTGTTATTAATCGGTGAAAGATGAAAAGCTGATGGAAAGAGAAATCCGCTCACTGCCACTACCGTGGCCGTAATGGATGCTGCTGCTGTGGTGTAGTGGTTAGTGTGCAACTGGACTTGCAATCCAGAGGTCGTCAGTTCGACCATGCTGGCACGGCAGTTAAAACAATGGTGGCAA